CCCTTCCAGAGGTCCTGCCCGGGGCCCTATGGGATGCAGCTTCCAGTTCAGCAGGTCCTACCCATGGGAAAGACACTGGGCCTTGCTCCACTGGCGGTGCCCAGAGTGAGGATGGGAGCTTTAGCCAATGTTCTCATTTTTTCCTCCTAGTAAACATTTTACAGATGGGAGGACAGAGTCTCGGAGGGGTGAAGTGACTCCATGAAGGTCACGCAATTTGTGAGCAGAAGAGCTGCGGGTCACACCCAGGTCTGACGCCTCCCCCTGGTTCCTTCCCCCACTGTGAACGACCTTGGAGCTAAGCCCTCCTGTCCATCATAAGTGACTGGTGAGTCCAGGGTGGTGTGTGTCTCTCTCTGTCCCCTAGCAGGGCTCAGCTAAACTCAGGGTCCCCAAGGGCCACATCTAGCATTTCCAACAGTTGGGACGCCCATGCATGTAGTTTTGCATATTATTTGCATGATGATTGCATCTGGTTTGCATGTGTTCATGCCGAGGGCCCATCAGTGATGCACAGTTTTTTTTTTTTTTTTTTTTTTTAATAAATTTTATTGTTATATTCCCCATACAATTGCAGCCCCCCCATTCTGACCCCAATCCCTCCCCTCCCACCCCGCCCCCCTAAAAGTGTCTCTGGTTCATAGTTTTTGTTGATTTTGATTTTCACTTTCTTATAGTTATTCATTTTCCTGGTCCCTTATTTAAGTTTTCTAGATTCCTGCTATGAGTGAGACCATCCGGTATTTTTCTTTTTCTTTTTGGCTTATTTCGCTGAGCATGATCCCTTCCAGCGCCATCCATGTTGCTGCAAATTGCATGTGTTTATCTTTTTTGAATGCTGAGTAATATTCCATGGTATATATGTACCACATCTTCTTGATCCAGTCATCTATTTTTGGGCATTTGGGTTGTTTCCAAAGCTTAGCTATTGTAAACAGTGCTGCTATAAACATAGGGGTGCAGGTGTTCTTTGGAATTGATGTTTCTGTGTCCTTTGGGTAAATACCTAGGAGTGGAATTGCTGGATCATATGGAAGTTCTATGTTTAGTAGGTCCAGAAATCTCCATACAGCTTTCCACAGTGGTTGGACCAGTTTGCACTCCCACCAACAGTGCAGAAGAGTTCCTTTTTCTCCACACCCTCGCCAACATTTGTTGTTGCTAGTTTTTTTAATATGAGTGATGCACAGTTTTTAAGTGGCTTCTAAGCAACCCTCACTCAATGGAAGCCTCGTTCACCAGGCTTTTCAGAGTCCAGTCGCCTTGATTTCTGGATTCTCCCAGGCCTTCGCCTTGAGCCTGTACATCTACCCACCCCAGGGTCCTGGAAAAGCCTTGCTTGTGCCCAGCGGTAAGGGGCTACTCCAAATCCCTGCCCTAGAAATGCATGTGGATTGGACCATAACCTTTCTCGATGGTGTGGGAGTAATCACAATGCCCCAGCCGGCTTCGAGCACACTGGTGTTTATGTTTCCGAGAGACCGAGACCCGGCAAAGAGCCTCGTGACACAGAACTGCCAAACAGTGGCCCTGCAGGGCAGAACAGTGGAGCTGGGCACACGAAGAAAGGAGACAGGGTGGAGAGTCGGGAGCCCGTGTCCCAGGGCCAGTGCCACCGTCTCTGGCTCAGGGGCTGTGCTTCTCTGAGTGACAGGGAGGGAAGGGCTTGTGCCAGAGGACTGGCAGTTCCAGTGCTTTCTATTTCTGTCTCTTTTAGGGGAAATACATTTCATGAAACTCTGTGTGGCTCCCAGTGATCTCATGTGTGGGCCCTCGATAAAAGAGGGAAGACACACGCTGGGTGGGTTGCAAGGAGCCTGGCGAGGAAAAGGAGCCTCTTGGGATTCTGCGAAGAGCAAGGGCCAGGGAGGGGCGACCCCCGCGAGCAGGGGGCCAAGCCCCAGGACTAGGCGTGACCCCACACCAAGCAAACCCGACTCAGCAGCCTCCCAGCCCCATCCTCATCTTCTCTGCCCCATAGCCAGTTCTTTCCTTCCGCCCCAGGAGGCCCATGAGGAAGGAGGGGTGCTCCAGTGTCTGTCCCCCCACTTTCAATTCCTCCCACGGTGCCACTCACTGATGGACCCTGAATACAAGACTTTTCACTCATGCCTTCCAGGGTTATCTTGTCCTGCCAGCATCGTCCATCCTCCCTGGCAGGTGGCACTTCTGCCGCCAGAAAGAGTGAAGGTTGCTTGCAAGTGGTGTCTGGATACGGCCGGGCAAGCCCCTGTGAACAGAAAGCCCAACCCTTGCGCGGCCCCTCAGCTCGCCATCCAGGTGCGCAAACTCCCTTCCGAGTAGGGGAGGACAAGACCGTCTGCCTCCCTCCCCTGCCCTGGCCTCCCTAGATTTCCTGTCTGGCAGATGCAGAGTGGCCTCATCTTCTGGGGGGGAGACCCCCGCCTCTGGCTGGATTCAGCCAAGACCCTGAGCATCTCCCCCACTGACGTCCTCCACCCCCTCCCCCCAGACCGGGTCCCAGTGCTGGCTCCCGAAACTGTTCCAATTAAAGATGGAGCAGGGTGTTTGATGTCGACCACCTGGGGAGGGGGAGGCAGGGTTCAGCTGTCCTCTCAGCCCCTGTTATGTGGGCCTTCCAAGTGCAGACAGGGTCCAGCCTCCGCCGGGAGATGTGGGCCCCACATCTGGGGCTGGGGAAGGGAGAGAAAGGAAGGGGGGAGGCCTTGGAAAAGGATCACAGCTTCTGGGGTGGGGATGGGGTGGGCGGTCCTCTCCCAGAGCCACCGGGCAGCGCAGCCCCCCCAGTCAGAACTGGGCGGAGGGCGTGGAGCTGGGCGGGCTCTGGCCTCCACCCCTCTGATGCCTCTTGCTTTCAGAAAAGCAGACATGCGGGGGTTACAAGATCAAGAGCACGTTAGAGCAATAGATGCTGTGCATCTTGTCCCCAGCAAAATGGCTCGTAACAGTCATCCCTGTTAAAGGCTCCAGAACAGGATAGCACCTCCGTGCATGTGTGACAAGGATGAAAGTTGTCTTAGTCGTCTCTGGGCTGTCGGATCAGAAACCCCCCAGAGCCAGCCCAGGGGCGGTGCACTAGTGGAAGCAGAAGGGAAGCCTCTCACCAAACGGCTACGCCACACCCTCGGGGACTGCAGCGCCTCCACCCCACCCTGCTCTGCTCTGGCGACTTCTCTCCCTCAGCTTCCTCATGAGCCCCGCAGCCTGATGGCCGCTGCACCCCATGCTCTGACCTGTCACCATTCCTCGGGGACCCTGCACTAGACTGAAGGGTGTTTCCCCAGAATTCAGGTCCACCTGGAACCTCAGAATGTGGCCTAACTTGGAAATTGGGTTTTTCCAGATGTAATTACTTCAGAAGGTCAGGCTGGATTAGACTGGATCCTAAATTCAGGAGCTTGGGTCCTTGTATGATGAGGAAAGAGGAAAAGGCTGTGTGAAGACAGCAGTCGGGGAAGACACCAGAAGTCAAACCAAGTCCAGCACTGCCCACAGCTGGCAGCTGGCGGAGGCTGGAATCCTTCTCTAGAGTCTCTGAGGGACGCGGGTCCTGCTGACACCCAGGCCAGACCTCTAGCCCTCGGGATAGGGGAAGATTAAATCTCTGTTGTTCTAAGCCACCAAATTTGTGCTGATTTGTTTCAGCAGCCCCTCCCCGCCTCCCCCCAGGAAGCTGGGCCCCCTCAGCCTCTGTGTTTCGATTCCAAAGTCCAGGAGAGAGAACACTTGGCCTGCTTGGTCAGGTGTCTGCCCCCTCCTCCCTGCCCCAACCACAAACCGCTCTGGTTGTGAGAGGTGGGGTAGGGGTGGGTTTCTGATCTGCCCCATTCCAGCACCCTTGGGATCATCGTATTACCCAAAGGGTGTGGATTTACATTTCAAAGTCTGGGGGAGGGCGGTCTCTCCAGGTGTGCCCTGGGGTTTTGTGCCTTCTGCACACCCATCAGTCACTAGTGTGAACAGGGCTCCAGTCACCTTGGTGGATGAGACAAAGCAGGGAGACTGCCACTGTCTTGGATGACAGGAGCAGGATTCAAAAGGCTCTTTCCAGAAAGTAAAACAAGGTCATGTGGAATAGAGAGGCTTGCAAAGGCCAACTCTGAGGTTCCGAGAGTCAGTTTCGCAAGGAAAAAAATGGAGGTGGCTTGTGAGAAAGGCGACGTTCTTCGAGCAGACACTAATAGTGACACAGTGCTGTGGACCTGCCAGCAAGCAGGGGAGCTGCACAGGGCAGCAGAGCATCCTGGGCCGGGCTGCTGAGGTGGGGTGTGGCTGGAGGCCGTGGGATAACCTGTCCCCGCCAGGGCGCCAGCGGGTCGCCTGGCCACAGGCACAGGCTGCAGAGGGCCGCAGCCTCAGGGATGGGTAGGCAGATTTGTCCTGGGCACATGGGGACAGCGGCGGTGAAAGGGTTGGCCTGGAGTCTGTTCCAAAGAGGTGGCTGGAGTGCTGCTGCCGGTGCACCCCAACACACGGTCCTGGGTCACCTCCGCTCCCGAGCTCTGGACCCAGGACCAGTGTGACCTGCTGGTGGCGACTGCCGGGGAGCCCCGGGCCCCCGCCAGCCCCAACCGTGTGGCTTTGCTGCTCCTCGGGTGCACACGACGACGGAGAAGCACGGGTGTGTTTGGGGGGCCTCCCAGGGCGCGACGGTCGCGCTGCGGCCATCCCAGAGCAGCCCCCCTCTTCATCGCTCGCTCGCAGGCGGCCCCTCGGGCGTCGGCTCGGAGCTGGGGCGGGGGGCTGGCCGCGGCGAGGGGCCGGCGGAGGAGCGCGGCGCGGCCCGAGTTTATGCTAATCCGCGCAGAGCCCGCCCCCCGCCCCCCGCCCCCCGCCCCCGCCGCGGCCCCGGCCGCGAGCAGCGCCGGCCACTCCGCGGGACGCAGCCGCTGCGCAGCGCGGGCGGGCGGGCGGGCGAGCTCCGGGGGCGCGGGGGCGGCGGGGCGCGGGGGCGAGCGGCGGGGCGGCCGGAGACGCCCGCGGGGTGCCCCGCGCGCCAGGTGGAGCCCGGGGCGGTGATGGGCCGCCGCCGCCTGCCGGTCTGGCTGTGCGCCGTCGCGGCGCTGCTCTCGGGGACGCAGGCCAGAGGCACCCCGTTCCCCGCGCGGCCCGCGCCGCCCGGCGCCCCCCGCTACAGCCTCTACGCGCCGGGATGGCGCCCGCGGCCGCGCCCGGGGCCGCACAAGTAAGCGCGGGCGGGGGGCGGGGGGCTGCGGGCGGGGCGCGCCGCTCCCACCTGCCCGGGCGCGCGCGGGGGCGTCGAGGCGCCGGGCACCCGAGGCCGCGGCGCGAGGGGGCGGCCCCGGCCGAACCCCCGCCGGGCTGGGCGCCCGCGCTCCGGGAGGCTGCGGGGCTGGCGAGGGAAAATGAGCCGAGGGGGCCTGGCGCGGCGGCGGGGATCCTGGCAGTGCCCGCGGAAACCTTTCCAGCGAAGTAACATTTTCCAGCTGCGCTTGTGCAAACTCGGGCGCAGCGGACCAGGTGGAGGGGCAGGAGGAGGGCAGTTGGCTCGGGGAGCACGCGGGGCGCCCCCCCCCACCCTTGCCAGCGCCGTGCCTGGGCCTCCCATCTCCCCCCTGCCCCACCAAGCCAGGTGAGAGGTGGAGCCATGCGCCCCGCGACCCGCCCCCTCTCGCGGTCAGCCTGGTGCCTGCACCCCGCTGGGAGCCCCAGCTTCTGGGCTGCAGAGCTGGTAGGGTTGCTGGGTCCTGGCCCGCGCCGCGGCTCCAGAGCGCAGTGGTAGTCTAGCCGCAGCTTCTGGCCTTCAGGAGACATGGCTGGCTAACCGGCCTGCAGGTGAGCTAAGGTTTCTGCTTGGGATGCGAGCTCAGTTTGAACTCTCTGAATTTGAGAGGTGCTAAAGGAGGAGAGGCTCGCCCACCCTGGTGACTGAGCCTGGAGCTGGGCACATCAGAGCAGGCTTCCTGGTGGAGGTGATGCAAGAAGTGATAAGGGAGTGAGGAACCTGCTTGAGGGCAGGGGTCAGAATACTGCAAGGTGGGATGCATTTCCTCAGGAATCAGGGTAGGAAGGGAAAAGTGTGGTTAATAGGCATTTGGGGGGCCTCCCTGGTGGCGCAGGGGGTTAAGACACAACCTATGAAGCTGTCCGCAGCCACTGCAGTACCAGTTCAATCCCCGGCCAGGGAGCAACCCACATGGCGCAGCAGACCTCTCCTGTCTCGCCCGCTGCTCCCCTCAGCAGTGTATTTTGTCAGTCTGCTGTTCTGTTCCCTGCTCTGTTTCTGGTGAATCCTCTCAATCCCCTCCACCTCTGGTCTGTACCCCAGTTCTTATATGCATAAATAAATAAATCTTAATGAAAAAAGGCATTTGGGCAGGAAGTTGGGATATCAGAATCCTGTAAGACCAAGAGAAGGAGTTGAGAGGTAGCAAAGTCGTTGGTGAAGGGTGGAGGTTGTGGCAAGGCCTTTGAGAGGGAATCTGGGTGGGCATCTTCTCCAGGCATGGAGGCAGAGGAGAGCCCACAGGTGGAGCAGCCACATCTGGCTCCTGGTTTAGTACAGAACTTAGCCCAGTGATCAATCCATTTGGGAAACTGGAATCAGGGGCCATCAGTAGGGCTGCCAGGGAACCAGCCTCCCGGGAACAAGAAGAAGGGACCAGAGAAAGCTAGGGATCTGGTCCCCTGCTGAGGTCCGCAGGTAGGGGATGGCGTAGGTGCCTAGGTAGGCCGGCCGTCCCGGGCTAGCTCTTCTAAGCATGCCATTCTCCCTTGCAGGGCCCTCTGTGCCTACGTGGTACACAGGAACGTGACCTGTGTCCTACAGGAGGGAACGGAGAGCTACATAAAGGCCGAGTACCGGCAGTGTGGATGGGGGCCCAAGTGCCCTGGGACAGTCACGTGAGTGCCCCTACCCCCCAACTCTGGACCCCTGGGCATGATCCCAGGCCTGCCTGTGAGCAGCAGCCAAGTCCACAAGAGGCTGTAACTCCTTGGACTCCCAAGAGCCTACCCAGCCCCCACACAACCAAATGGAGGAGGCCAGGTTGGGGTCCAGGAGCTCAAGGGAACCAGAGGAGGGTTCCTAGGGGAGAGGGCGCATGAAGCAAGGAACAACAGAGATGAAGCTGGGGGTGGGGGGGCAGGATGGGAAGGAGAGAGCAGAGGACCATAGTGACAACGGTTGATTCGAAAGGGACCCTGGGCAGACCCAGGGAGGGCTGTAGTGACCAGTGGGAGGTGTGAGGGGTGAGGGCTTGAAGCCAGATTGCTGGGGCTTAGGCCAGACAGATGGGGCTATGTGGGGACCTGTGGTATTACACACAGGTGTGATGCACAGGCCTGTACTTGGAGAAGTTCAAATGCATGTCTGAAAACAAGCCTGTTGGCTCCAATGTGTCAGTGGGTGAACAGGTACACAGCTGAACAGGTGACCCTAGAGTGGAATTTTTGATGACACTGTGAGCTAAAGGGGTCGAACTGGGCTTGAGATGTTTGAGGCTAAATCCTTTCTGGCTTTCTCCCCAAGCAGGATGGGTGGGGCTCCACCTACACCTTCCCCTGGCAAGTCTCTGAACTCTAGGGGGCCTGCCACCACCCCCACAGCCATCACCTTCACCACAGAAAAGGGAAAACCCCTGGGGGCGGTATGGATATGGAGAAACAAGACCTTTTGCAAGTGTCTAAGAGGGTTCTGAAAACCAGCCAGGGGCGAGGTCACTTGCCAGCGGGCAGGAGCCTCAGCCCACAGGTACAGTCCCGCCCTCTCCCACACCCTGGTCCAGGTACCGCACAGTGCTCAGACCCAAATACAAGGTCGGCTACAAGACAGTGACAGATCTCGCCTGGCGTTGCTGCCCGGGCCTTGCTGGAGAAGGCTGCCCTGAGCATCTCACGGACCACGGGGTGACCCCACCCCAGCTGGAGCCTGAGCCCCAGATTCCGTCAGGACAGCTGGACCCAGGCCCCAGGCCCGCTCCTTCTAGCAGAATGCTTCCCAGCCCCCACGGTGAGTCTGCCCATGGAGACCCTAGCAAGGTGATCAGGATTCTTGGGGAAGGGAAGAGAGGAAAGGGAAGGAAGGGGCTCATCCAGACTGGCTGAGCTCTGGCAGAGGAGGCATCTCATGCTGGGTGTGAGGGTGAGCCCCAGGAGCCGCTCCCAAAGCTGAGGGAGCTACGCCCAGCAAGAAGGGCAGTAGAGAGCAGAAAATCTCCCGGGTGGCCTGGCAACAGGACAAGCTGCAGGAGTCACACCCCTGGGTGTCTCTTCTTTCCCAGGAAGGAGAGGCCCGGGGCTGATAGGTGAGCGGCTGGAACGCCTGGAGGGTGATGTCCAGCGCCTGGCACAAGCATATGGTGCCCTCAGTGGCCTGGTGGCCAGCCATGAAGACCCCAACAGGATGACGGGTAGCCCCAGGGCTCCTGCTACCCCTGTAGGCTTCGGAGGCATCCCAGAGGGGTTTGTGCACCCTGGAGACAGGGCTGGAGGGCCACTTACACCTCCTCTGGATGAGATCTTGAGCAAGGTGACAGAGGTGAGCGACACACTCCAGACCAAGGTGCAGCTGCTGAACGAGGTGCACGGGCTGGCCCTGGACCACGAGGCCCACCTGCAGCGACTGCGGAAGGCTCCCCCATCTCCACTCACCTCCCTGGCACTGCTGGATGAATACGTGGACCAGCGGCTGCACAGACTCTGGGGGAGCCTCCTGGATGGCTTCGAGCAGAAGCTGCAAGATGTGCAGAGTGTGTGTGACCTGCGTGTGCAAGAGGTGCGGCAGCAGTGTGAGGAGGGCCAGGCGGCCAGCCGGAGGCTGCACCAGAGCCTGGATGGCCGGGAGCTGGCCCTGCGCCGGGAGCTGTCCCAGCTGGGTAGCCAGCTGCAGGGCCTGAGCGTGGCTGGCGGGGGCAGCTGCTGCAGCCAGGTGGCCTTGATCAGTGCCCGCGTGGACAGCCTGGAAAGGAACCTGCAGGCTGTTGAGACACAAAGGGGTCACGGCCCCCCCACCAGCGATGAGCTCACACAACTTTCCGCCGCCATGCTAGACGGGGGTGTGGATGGACTGCTCGAAGGCCTGGAGACCCTCAATGGGACGGAGAGTCGGGGGAGGGGCTGCTGCCTGGGGGTGGAGGAAGAGGGGTGGGGAGTGGGCGGCTTCACAACCACATTGGAAGAGCGCGTGCAGAACCTAGAGGAACGCTTGGTGACACTGGCCAGGGAGCTGGACCTTGACAGCACCCCCCCAGGCGGGGCAGCAGGGCCCCTTGTGCAGACAGAGCTGGCCATCTTGGAACAACGGCTCGTTTCCCTGGAGACCTCGTGCACTCCCAGCACCACCTCAGCCGTTCTGGACAATCTCGTGGCAGAGGTGAAGGCCTGGCAGGGCCGGAGCGAAGCGCTCTTACGCCAGGTGGCCAGCCACACCACCCTGCTCCAGCAGCTGAACGGCACCATGGCTGAGGTCCAGGGACAGCTGGCAGAAGCGACAGGCAGTGCACTCCAAGGCGAGATCACCCTGCTCAAGGTCAATCTGAACTCGGTAAGCAAGTCACTCACGGGCCTCAGTGACTCTGTCAGCCAGTATTCTGATGCCTTCCTGGCCGCCAACACATCCCTGGATGAGCGGGAACGCAAGGTGGAGGCCGAGGTCCATGCCATCCAGGAGCAGGTCAGCAGCCAGGGCTCGAGGCTCCGGGCTGGCAGCAGGCAGGTCCTGAGCCTGCGGGGGGAGCTGGAGCAGCTCAAGGCTGGTGTGGCCAGTGTGGCCGGAGGGCTAAGCCGCTGCCAGGACACAGCCGAGGAACTCCAGCATGTGGTGGGCCACTTTGACCAGAGGGTGGCACAGGTGGAGGGTGTGTGCGGGAGGCTGGGCCTGCTGGCTGAGGGCCTGGACAGCTTGCCCATGGAGTCACCGAGGCCCAGGGATGGCTTGTGGGGCCATGTGGACCAGCTGAATCGCACGCTGGCCCAGCATGCACAGGACATCGCCCGGCTCCGGGATGACCTGCTGCAGTGCCGGGCCCAGCTGGCTGAGCAGGTACAACGGGGGCAAGGTGACTAGGTGGGCCAGAAAGGACCCAATCCCCAGATCTCACCAACCCTGGGGACCTCACCCCAGAGCCCAAAACTTGCTTCCAGCCTCCTCTGGCCAGCGCAGGTACCACTTTAGAGGCCACCGAAGGAAGAGTCTTGGTCCAGCTCCATGTGACTGTCCCAGCCACCAAAATCCACACTCGGTGCTCTATCAACTGGACAGTTCAGGATAACGTCAAGCCAAAGACGTCACACCTGAAGGCAGGGTGGACCGGGGACCTCACAATCCCGTCTGCAGATGGCTCCAGCAGACATACCTGGACAAAGACCTGCAGGTGCAGTGACGGGTCTGTCACATCTCCCACTCCCCAGCCCCCGGGGCCTTTGGCTTCCCTCCCCGGCCGTGTGGGTTAGGTTTCTGCAGGAAGGGGGTGCCTCCTGGCATTTCCTCACTCCAGGCAGCTTCACGGATATTATTTTTCAACCAAGGAGCAGAGGTTTCCACTGCCTCACTGGTCCTTCAGGATGGAACAGAGGCACAGACTCAGCCCAGAGTACTCTTCATTCTTTTTGATCTTCCCCCAAGGTGAGAGCTTAGGCAGCTACAGAATCCCAGGGGAAGGGTTTGGGGCCAGGGGATTTGTTGATGTATCTTTTCCCCTACCTTCCCCCCAATGTTTTCAGGGCACTCTGGTATACACATGGTCTTCCCTTTCCATTTTGGGGAGTCCTCCTTGGGGTTAGGGCCTCTGTCCAGAGTGTCCCTTCTATACGTCATGGCCTGCATGAGGCCAGACCTTGGCAGGAGACTGAAGGGGAAGGGCACCTGGCCTTGATCCCAACATCCCTGCAAAGCCCCTGCCCAGCCAGGATGTTCTGGAAATAGAAACTCAGGTACAACATCACCACGGGTCAGCCTGGAAACTGCCTGCGCAGTCCCCAGACCCATCTCTGCTGAGGATCCAGCCTCAGTTTCCCCCACAGCAGCATGTGGGTCCCTGTAGTCCTGCCTTCTGGTTGCTTGACATGTGGTATTCTGCCCTCCACTGTGGTGCTGTTGGGGGAGGGCAGCCCTGGATTAAAGCTTTTGACTCATCTAAGGACATTTTCTTTGCCAAAGACAGGAGGAGGGAAGGCTGGGAGGGGATCAGTCCCAATTCCACAGTTTTTGGGGCAAAAGCCTACTCAGCCATGTGGGCTAAAGCTGGGGAGGGTGGCAGACAGGCCCCCACATGTCCTCGCAGGGTTGGAGCTGTATCCCCAGGGAGGTGCAGAGAGGACGAAGGGCAGTGGGTGGGTGCACCATGGTCCATCGGGAGCCCTACTCCCTTGGACCTTGCCCTGGCTTGGAATTCCCTAATGCCAGAGGGGCTCTGGAGGACTGGGGGTGGGCGTACAGCATGAACTGAGATGCCAGGGCACCCACAAGGGAGAGCAGTGCTGTCTGGCAGGTAGAGGCCAGGGCTATGTTAGGGTCTAACTTCAGAGGGTGTGGCCCAGACCCCCAGAGAGGGTGGGGGGACATTGTACTCCTCCCAGATGCTGCTCAATTCCTCTCTGTTGCTGCCCCACCCCTTCCCTGTACGGAGGGGCCTTGAGTCTCAGTGGGGCCTCCTTTATCTCTGTCCTGTGGCGAGTTGAACCAAGGTCCCAGGATGGCAGGGACAGAGGTGTCAAGGGCAGGGAGAACCCTGCAAAGGCTCAGGTGACAATCATTTAATTGCCGCAGGGCAAGACCAAGCTGAGGCCTGGAGCAGCTGCCCCACCCCTCCAGCTCAGCTGGCAGAGGCAGGACGGCTGGGGGGAGGTGTCTGGCCACCAACAGGCCCACAGCCCCCTGCTCCCTTTTGGGGTTGGTTTTGTGGATTCTACCCACTATACTCAGTCACTTCTGGGCCAGGCCAGGGAAGAGGGGCAGGCGGGGCTGGTTCAGGTCAGAGCGTCAAGGTCCACCATGGCCAGCGGCTCCCGCCAGTAGCAGAAGTTGCTGTATTCAGGATTGGCCAGGTCTGTGCTGGGGCCACGGGCCACTGGCGGGAAGAGGAGCTCCACCACCTCACCGAGCCGCTCGTACCTGTGGGCAGAATGGGATGGAGTGAGCCTGAGCTGCCGCCAGGCCACACCCTCTGCTCTATCAGGAGACTCTGAGTCCTGTCTGGGGGCGCCGAGCAAGGGAGGGAGTCCCGTGTGGAGAGGCTGGGCATGGGGCCGCGGACACGTGGCAGGGTGTGGCCTCACGTGGACTTGTGGTTCTTCATGAGCTCCTGGATAAGCTCTCCCCGGGGATTGACTGTGAAGATGCGCGATTCAGGTAGGCCCACCTGCCGGTAGGCGATGACATCCTAGAGCACAAAAAAGGAGGGTGGGTGAAACACACCACCGGAGGAGGGCAGGAGCTGGCCCAGTCACAGGGAGGGGCACACTCACGTTGGGCCGGTTCCCGAAGGCGGCGTAGAAGGGCTGTCCGTGGGGCAGAAACAGCTGTTGGATGTCACTCAGGCAGGCGATCTTGAACACCTCTGGTTTCTTCTCAATCACCTCCCTGGGGTAGCCAGGGCCATGGGCCAGGAGAGGGTTAGAGGGAGGGGTAGCAACCAGAAGATGCCAGGGTCAGGCATCTGTCCCAGCCTGCAGCTGGCCTGGCCTCGCAGTGGCCCCCTGGCACCTCCCCCGCACCTCCCGGGGGCTGTGGGCTTGCCTTGTATATGAGTGGTTACCTGTGCAGGGCGGAGAAGAGGCTGCTGGGAGACAGCAGAATGGGGCCCTTGGGGAGGCCACAGCCCCGCTCGCTCACCCACCGCAGGTACCCCTTGGTGAGGTCAGCCATGCCGATGGCCCGAGCCGAGCAGTACAGGAACTTGTACCCATTTCTGCAAGAGGTGCGGGGGACACCAGAGGTGGTGCAGAGACATTGGAGATCAGCCATCCCCCATTCTGCCCTGCTGGCTTCAGCCAGCTCTGCCCAACCCTGAACGTGGCCTTCAAACCCAGAGGCCTTTGCAGGGAGGCAACCTGGGGAGAAGAGCAGGGCCAGGCCTGAGAGTGGTGGCCTCAGTAGCTGTCCCAGTGACGGATGAGGGCTCTGGCCAGTCTACAGGTTCCCTAAGAGCATGAACCTCAGAGCCAGACTGGGACCTTAGCCCCAGGGGACGTGTGCCAGAGAACCAAGGACCACTAGTAGGTCTCAGTGCTGCGGGACCTGTCCAGGCCCTTCCTTTGTGGCCCTGCTGCTGCCCAAGCCTGACTTCCCAGGGCAGAGCTGAGACATGCTCCCAACCCCTCCCTGAGACCCTGGGCAGCCCCGTCCAGACACTCACAGGTGAATTTTGTGGTAGAGGCTGGTGATGCCCTGGTGTGTCCAGTCTTTCCCCAGCTGGGGCAGAATGTGGCCCAGGGCGTCCGACCTAGAGCCACAGAAAGGGTCACTCCCAGGCAGCCCCCAGCCCCAGGATGGCCCACTGGGATGGAAGGGGAGGGAGGCGAGTCTCCAGGTGCCCCCACCTGTCCCCCCCATGGGGCCTCACTTGGTGATGGTGCCGTCGATGTCTGAGATGACCACCTTGTCGTCCCATTTCCACAGGTAGATGGTGGCCTTGCAGCGGCAGGTGCCCTGGTACTGAGTGGTCACACTGAAGACCACATCGTTGGCGCCTTCTTGCAGGTTCAGGCGCCGCTGGGAGCCAGGTAAAGGGGGAAGCTGTGACCTGCCACAGCCAGTGCTGTCCACCCCATTCCCATTCCAAAATGTGGTCCACAGGCGTCTCATTCTCTTCTCCCCCCCAACTCCAGAGCCTCCCTGAATTTAGAGAGAGCCACGTGCACACATCCATGTGGGCGGGGTGGCCTTGAAGACACGAAGGAGTGCGGGGGCCAGCCTGTGGCACAGGAGCCCACCCCCTCGTGCTCCTTGGGGATCGAGCTCACAGACCAGGCCGAGCCCGTGAGCCTTGCCCAGGTTCCTCAGGTCAGCCCCAAGGTTGCCTTGGCCTTGGGCAGGGAGAAACCCCATTCAATGACAGGATCCTGCTGGGATCTTCACAGACAGCCCCCCACCAGGGGCGGGGGTACCTGTGACGTCCCCCCAGAGAGAGACCTAGCCCTGTCCTTGTTCCACAGAGGGCAGGCCTCAGTCACGGCCGGTGACCTTGGCTTCCAGACCCCGACCAGCCCGAGATGGGTGTGAGCCCCTGCTGCCACAGCCTGTACCAGGCTGGCCCGAGCCTCTGGGCACCTTTCTGATCGGGAAGAACAAATCTGCGGGGCCACTAGCCCTGAGGGTGAGGATATGACCCACAGGCCTGGGGTTGCCAAAATCTGAGGGACTATCATCAGTATTTAGTCCCTTCACTGTGGCTTCCAGGGGCAGACCCAGAGTCAGCCGGCCCACGGCAGGTGGATGTGTTAAGGGGACACAGTGCCTTTCATGTGAGGGCATCCAAGATGTGGGCCGGCAGGTAGAGAATACAGGCCTCCTGCCCTGGAGGTATTAGAGCAGAGGCTGGCAAGGAGGCTGCCCAGTGGGTGGATTCTGGGCTTTGGTGAATGTGTCTCGGCTGGGCCTGACGGACTCAGGAGGATGCTCTTGGCCCCCTCCTCCCCCAGCCCAGGCACACTTAGGAGCGGGTCACACACAGGCGCACGTGTGTGCACACTTACAATCTGATCTGAGGAGAGGCGAAGGGACTTCTTGAAGGCAGGAGTATAGACTGGAGAGGAGGGCGGCGGGCAGGGGGCCTCGAGGATCACAGGGCTGTCTGGGGCGTCGTCCTCGCTGCTCAGGACCTCGGTCTTCTCCCTGTGGGCATCTTGCCTCAGGCCACTTCCCCCAGCTGAAGGCCCTTCACTCCCAGCAGATGCTCTGCCCTCAGCCCAGGAGCCCTCAGAGACTACCCAGGGGATCAGAAACTCCTCCCTCTAGATGCCACCTGTTTTGGGGGAGGTGGCAGACAGGCGGGTGCAGGCCTGGCAGCTATACCCAGGAAGTGACAGCAGAAAGGAATGGATGAGACCAGGGGCTCCCAGTGCTCGGCACTCGGCACAGTGGGGTGCTAGGCCCTGCCAGGGAGGTTTATTCCCAAGCCACCTGCTTTGGCTTCAGTCAGCCAGTCCTTGACCATCACCCCCCTGCCAACCTTGGGCCTTGTGAGTCATGCCACAAGGATGACATGGATGAAAAACAGGATGAAAAGCATGAAACATGAAAAACAGGATGCAAGGATGCTGGCCCCTGGTGGAGAGGGAGGCCCCATTCCTTAGTAGGGTGGCCTTGTCTGGGCCAGGAGTCTGGACACCCCGTCTGCTCTGCCACTTCCTACTGTGGGAGCTTTGCTGTATTTCTAGTCTCAGTTTTCCCTCCTGTAAAGTGGGGACATTTCTCAGAGAAAAAAGTAGAAGTGGCTGGAAAATGACAACCACGGCTGGGGGAGGGGTGCTGGCTCTACCCCTGCCCACCCTCTGCCCTGTCCACCCTCACCCTGATGCCACCCCCGCTCCCCAATCCAGTTGCAGCTGCAGGGCCCCAGCCAAATTCACTCACCCCCGCTGATCCTGGGCTGTGCTTTTCTCCCTCTGGGTACTGCGCTGTGGGAAGAGCATCCATCCAGTGAACCCCACTTCCTGCTGGCCCTATTTCCTGCCTGTGCTGGCCCCACCCTGTGGCCTTGACCACCCACCTCCTCCACTGGGAAGTCCCTGCGTCGCCAAGAAAACCACCACCGCCCACTCTTCCGGGGCATCTTCTCCTTCTCCAGCTTGTCCAGGGTGTTCTGTGGGCAGATGAAGACCATAGTATTTCCCCCGACATCACAGAAACCCACCTTATTTTGCCCTTGTATTGAGAATCTGGGGCTCATGAGAGAGCCAATTGCTGTCAATAGCTGAGGGCTGAGGAAGGCTGCCCGCTCCTATTCTGGGGTTCTGAGCAATGCTTTATAGGGCCAAGCACAGGAGACCAAGGGACATTCCCACACACCCTCACTCCACCCCAGTCCATACCCCCTAGCTCTAGCTTAGCCTCAGCCTGGCCTCCAAATCTTGTGCATCAGTGTCCCTACTAGAGTAGCTGAAAGCAGTGCTCTGGGAGTCGAGCAAGATCTAGCGCTCCCTGCATGATGCCACCAAGTAGCAGCAGGAAGCACAGCCTATAGGCAGAACTCCCTTCAACCTCCAAGGCCATGGTCAGTGATTCTCTCTCTATATATATGCTAACATCACTGTCTGGAGGGGGTTCCATGACCTTGTGAAAATGCAGATTAGATTGATCTCAGCTGACCATAGGGAGAGCCCAGGCCAAGGCTCACGTGGGAGACACATCAGTTTCCTACAAATACAGAATGAAGGACCCAGGTCAAGAGGATATGGGCTGGGGGGCTACATCTACTGGGCGACCACTTGGGCTGGGAACAGGTTGCAGGAGTCTTCCAGGGGTCTCAGGTGGTGGGTCTGTCTGTGTAAGGTGAGGAAAACCAAGCAGGAGAGTGGCCTTCTTCCTTCCCATGAGCCCTGGGTCCAGAGCTGAGCGTCATCAAAGGGAGGCACCAGCTGTCAGCATCTGGTTAGTGATGTTCTTTGAGCAAGCCAGAATCCAGAACAATGGGCCAGGGCGGGGCAGCACATGGGCGGCTCCCAGAAGGTAGAAGGGGCAGATGCAAGTCAGTATGGGTGGAGGGGGTGGGAGGGGATAAAGAGGCTGGGTTCCTTCCAACCTTTGAGCATTTGCATATGCTGTTCCCTGCCCCTCAGCTGCTTAAAGCCTAGTGCTCCTTCAGATATCTGCCCAGTGGGTGCTTGCTCAGCAGACCCCCTCCTGTGGGCTCTCAAATCATCGCAGTCCTCTCCTCCCAATACTCACAGTTGATTTTTGTATTTATTTGGTTAAGTCTGTGATAAACTGTCTTCCTATGGAGACATAACTATTCCCAGCCTATGCCCAGCACACAGTAGGTATTCAACAAATGCGTGCTGAGAAAGCCAGCGAACATCCATAGCCTAGCCTGGAGGGGTAATCAGGGTCAGGTGAGAAGTGGAACCCCTGTCTTCTAGATCCCAAACCTCTGACTGAAGGCATGTCCCCTGTAGAAAGTTTATCCTTCTCTGGTTTGATCTCAGCTCTAAAGTCCAAATCCAACATGATCCAGCCATGACAGGAAACCAGGGAGTGTTTAGCTGTCTACACAGCAAGGGACAGGACTTCAGGGGACCTCGGTCTCCTCTCCCAGAGTGAGTCTTGCAGCCAGTCAGCCGCCTGCCCATCTCTGCCCACCTTCCACTTCCAGGTGAGACCCCTCTCCCCTGAGGCTCTGACAGTTTCCCCAGGAGGTCCACTGCTGCGCTCACCATTACCTTGGGCAAGTTTTTCTGGAAGGCTTGCAGGGAGAGGATCATGGGGGCAGCTACAGCCCAGTTATAATGCCTGGGGAAACAGGACAGGGTGTCGTGGGGCAGCAGTCACTGCAGGGGCAGGAGGGCAGGCTGACCTGGGGGTGCCACAGCCCAGCCCAGCACTCACTTCTCATTGACTTTGATCACCAGGTTTGGGTCATCCAGGAGGCCAGGGTTTTTGCTGAGATCCTGGTAGGAGACGATGTGCTGGTTGAATTTCTCTGGGCACAGAGGCAGAGAGCGAGGGTGAGGTTGGCCTATTCCACTGCGCCAGCTCCTCCTGGCGCCCTGCACTCTTCTGCTCAGGCTTCCCAAAGGTGGGTCCGTGACCTAGCGGTGCTCCCCCGACCTGTGCTTTGCACCTCTGTCCCACCCCAGGCACTGGCGAGTGAGGATTCACAGGCAAGTCACAGCGCAGCCTCAAGCATGGCTCCACAGGACCTCAGGAGTGCCCTGCCCTGCTGGTTGAGTGTGGGCTCCACAGAGCTGCCCAGCGCAGCCCGGGGGTCTTCTCTGACTCTCCTTGCACCCTGCGCTCACCGCCAATCCTCAGAAGGGTGGGGCCGTGGTGGCTCATACCTAGGGAGATGTTCCTGCTGTCAGCCAGTCCTCCACAGAGGGACAGTACTATTTTGTCCGGGGTGTCTGAAGTATGTTCTGGCTCCTGTTCGGGGATGGGGTCCCCCAGGGTCTTCTGGTTGCCGGGTTCACTCCACCTCCTGACCCCCAGCCCACAGTCACTGGGGGCAAAGAGGCCCCACAGTGTCATGAATATTAAGGGGGCTGGTGGGGGGGTACCCATCCCAGGCTCTTGATAGCCGACGCCCATCCCCCCTCAGAGGCCCCAATCCCAAGACAGACTGACTGGCCCCCAGAACCCAGGCACCTCTGGGGGAAGTAAAGGGCTGCATTCTCGGAGTCCAGCGAGGGTAGGTCATCCAGGTAGATGTCACTGGGGCCCAGGTGCTGGCTTCTCTTTAGGGAGCCTGAGACCAAAGAAGACACCTGTAGACCTGACATGTGCTCAGTACTGTGAGCGCTACGTGTTCCCCTCGCCGTTGGCTGACCTAAGGCAGTGCCGTCCAGCTGAACTTTCTGTAACGACAGACACGCCCTGTGTCCACGCTGTCCGAGCTGGTAGCCACTGGCCATATCTGGCTATTGAGCACATGTGGACACAGGTGCTGTGACAGAGATTAGTTGATTTTAATTTTATTTTTTTTTAATTTTTAAAATTTTTTGAAGATTTTTTTTTTTTATTTATACAATAGCTAGGGTACAGGCCAGAGGCATGGGAGGGTGAAAGAATTTACCAGAGACAGAGTGGGGAGCAGAACAGGCAGACAACCGAAAGCACTGCCGAGGGGAGCAGCAGGTGAGACAGGAGAGGTCTGCCGTGCCATGTGGGAATCTCCCTGGCTGGTCGGGAATTGAACCCGCGCTGCAGAGGCTGTGGACAGCTTCACAGCGCTGTGCTCAACCTGCTGCACCACCAAGAGGCCCTGATTTTAATTTTAAACAGGCATATAGAGCTGGTGATCACTGAGGTGGACATACATGTCTAGTACTGAGCCAGCCTCTGCTCATCTCTGTTTTCTCTCTCAGCCCTGTCCCCTGCCTCACTCAAGACAGGCCAGCTCAGTTCCTAGAACATGAACCCTCTCTCCCTCCTCATGGCCTTGACACATGCGGTTCCCTCTGCCTAGAATTCTCTTCCCCTGATCTCCACCTGGCCAGATCTTTGTTGTCCGCATCTCAGCTCAAACATCACCCGCTCAGAGTAGCCATGTGATTCAAACAGGCCCCATCCCAGCCAATGACTCTGTCCCATATGGCCCAGGGGATGCTCTTCCAGTTGATGCATGTCTGCCCACTGGACTGTGAACCCCATGATGGCTGGTGCCAACACAGTGCCCGGCACATAGTAAGTGCTCAAAATGTGCTTGAAGGTCCAGAGTCCATTTACCCCAGGGGATAAACTGAGGCCAGAGATGCTATGAGAGGGTCCAACCAACACTCACCTTTCCTTCTGGACACCCCCTCTGTGGGGACAGGGATGTCCAGAGTGGTCCAGCTCCATGACTTCAAGGCAGGAGGGGGGTGCATATCCCTGGAGCTCTGAGTCCTGGTTTCCAGTCTTTCAGGGACCCGGGGACAGTGGCCCTCCAGAGCAGGAGTCTCTGTTTTAAGCTGAAGAAGGTCAGTGCCAGTCCCTGTTTGCAGGGTTGGGGGCCCTGAAGGACCCACACCAGCTCCAGCGGCAGGAGGGGAGCAGGACTCTCCCTGGCAAGGAGAGGCTGCCCCAAGGTGGTCATCCAGGAGCACTGAGGACTCGGGTCGCTCGGCTTTAGCCACCTTCAATCAAAGAAATAGGAGAAGATATAGGCTGTGCAGGGCTGGCTCCCACACCCCACAAGGCCTTAGGGGGATGACCCACATCTCAGTAACTCCAAACCTAGACAGCAGGGGGTGCCACAGAGCCACTGACAGGTAGGAATGGGGACTGAGGTGGAGGAACTCACCTTAGGGAGCCTCCCCCAGGCCCACTGCATGTGGGACTCAGCTCTCAGGGGGCTGGGCTCAGGGGTCCTCAGCTCCAGCTCTGAGTCGCTCTTAGGGGAGGTTAGCTCACTGGACGAGAGGCTGCAGGAAACAAGAATTAGAGGCTCCCAAGCCAGCCTGCCATCCCCTGCTGCCTGCTCCAGCCTGGGGGTATTTGTGACATATATTAACGCTTATGTTGCGGCTACACTATAAAAAGAACATGTAAGAGATAAAAAATGCATAAATATATATAAAGAACTCTGACAAATCAACAATAAGAAGGCAATTCAGAAAAAACAAAAACAGGCAAGGCTGAGACTGCTTAATGGTACAGGGTTTCCACGGGGTGATGAAAAAGTTCTGGAACTAGATCATAGTGAATATACTTGATGCCACCAAACTCTGCATTTTAAAATGGTTAGAGTGGTAGATTTTACGTCGTTGTGTGTATTTTACCATAGTAAAAAATATGGGCAGAAAACTCGAACACTTTACAAAGGAGCTACACAAATATGTTTCATGGTGTTAGTCATCAGAAAAAAGTAAATGGAAACCACTCTGAGGCCTTGGCCTGCTTGAGTCCCCGCCTGCTGTCCACCTGGATTCTCACCTGGCTTGGGGAGGCCACTCGCCATCCGAGTAGGGGTAGATGTCTTTGGGCTGTGGTGAGGGCTCGCCGTCTGGCTGGATGCTGCTGAGGGGCCACAGGGACATAAACGGTCACTGAGAGGGCAGGGCACCCCGGGCAGGGCATGGAGTGGACAGACTGGGCAGAGGTGGCACCAGCATGACCTGGACAGCTGGGTTCAGGGAGGTGGAAGCCCAGAGAGGTCAAGGCCCCTGCCCAGGTTCCCATAGCATCAGCAGAGGGAACTTTGACCCCAGGGGCATCCCCACTCCCCCGACCCCCACCTGGTCCCCGAACTCCTCGGGGCCTCTGGACTTGGCCTTTCTAGCAGGGACGGGTCATTCTCAGCGCCGGCCTCCAGCTCCTCTGAGCTAGAATCAGTTGCTACGGCGTCTTCCTTCCGCCTGAGTTTCCTCCTGCGGAGCCTCTTCTTCCGCCCCATGTTGGTGGTGCCCGCAGTGACCACTTCTGGCTCGCTGGCTGTGCCCATTTGGGAGTCTGAGGGGAACCCAGACAGGCCCCCCCAAGGGATGGGTGAGGTGCACAGACGGGGAGGCACGTGTTCCTGTGGAGCAGACCAGGGCAGGCTTAGGGGGTTACAGCTGGGGTGAGGGGAGGTGACCTCACAACAGTCATCCTGAGCACTGAGTCCCAAGCCCTGGAGTGCACTCATCTGGGGTCAGGAACACAGGTGTAGAGACTGGACAGAGGTGGTACCAGCATGACCTTGCCACTGCTGCTAGCCTCAGAGATCCCTAATAAATAAAGCAACCCCAAGCCCAGTGGCTGCATGTGCCCCAAGAAGCCCAGGGTGCCCCATGATACACACCGTCCAGAAAGAAAGCATGCACTTCCCCTTTAAGACTCAACCAGGTGTCACCTGGTTCAAAGAGGCTGCCCTGACTGTCCCCAGCTGAGTTCCAACCCCCTTTGGTGCAACAACAGATCCATCTTCTATTGTTTACACGCCTGTCCCCCAGGTTAGTCTGGGAACCTTCCCTAAAAGCAGGGGTCATCCCCCAAGTGAGTCCACTGCACAGTGTCTAGCATATAGTAGGGGCTCAATTAAAGTTTGTTAAGCTCAAGCAGTTGAAAAACTTCTGCCTCCCTTCTGCAAACACCCCCTCTCTTCACCCCTACCCACACACTTCCAAGGTCCAGCTGTGCACTGACCAAGCCCATCTCCTAGCCATTCATCAGCACCCTCCTCTGTCCAGGGTGCCCAGGAAGGCTCCTTTTCACCCTCTGGGGTCCAGCTGTAATGTCCTCTTCTGAGAAATCTTCCTAGAAGTGAAGTCCGCCTCCCTGCCCTCCCCAGCTCTGCACATGGCTCCTCCAGAAGGATCCTCCCAGCATCATATCCCCAGATGGGCACTCCCAGGGGCGGGACAGGGACATCTCAAGACCGTGCCCAGGAAGGGGTGGGGCAGTGCCAGCCAGGAACTTACCTCATCATTCTCTAGCTCCTGAACGAAGAAGGCCTCTCCACTGTCCCCCAGCTTCATGTGCAAGTCGACCGGCTCCCCGTTGATCTCGATGTCCACCTATGACAGGGGGTAAAGGTCCCACCTTTGACCCTCATACCCAGGCTCCAGTCCAGTGGCCTCCCAAGCTGGTCTTGGAGACCCCGAGGGCCACACTTGCTGAGACTCTTTCCCCCAGACCTTGGTGTGCCCAGTGCTCCCCACATGGAGGGTCTCTGCTTGCTCCCCTTTCTCCGAAAGGCACCTCCGGGCTCTCCTTGACAGGCTGCCCACATTCTCTGGGCTCTGTTGCATGCATCACTCCCTCTGTATCCCTGAGTATGCCTTGGTTTCTGTGCGTGACACACAGGTGACTGTCCCCGGAAAGTGCCCGGACTGAGCACCTAAGCAGTGGTAAGAAGGACCATTTCTTAGAGATTCTATGGAGATGTACATAGATTCTCTCCTTTATCTCCACTGACACCCCTGCAGTAAATCCTGCCTTTCGCTCCACGTGGTAGATGAGGAGACTGAGGCTTGGAGGGATGAAGGAATTTGCAGGGAAGTGGCCAGGTAAGATCATGACCAGTCTGAGTCGCTTCCCTCCCCCAAGCCCTTAACCACTGAGCCACACTGTCTCCTACCAGTACACTTTCCTACTAGGATTCCAGAAAGTTCAGTCACCCCCACATGGAAGGGATGTATTCACACAGCAGACCCTGGTGTGAACTGTCACGTTCACCTGAGCCCAGGGAAGACAGCACAGCTTTACTAAGGGAGAGGAACTGACCTTTGAGTGGCACCCACATACCTGGCCCGGGGATGGTTACTAGCTCCTATTTAATTCTCTCAAATCCTCCCACCCTCCCCAGGCAGAGGAGAACATATCCACCGTGCAGGTGAAGTGACTTGCCAAGAACGCACAGGTGAGGTCTCAGTAAGCTGGAGACAAGGGTGACCGTGGTGCTTGGGACTGTCTACTGCTGCTTCCAGGGGAGAGTGGGGACCTGCTCAGAGCAAACTCCCAAACCAACCCATGAAAACACAAAAGAAGGGGCGCCTCGGCCCTCTCCTGGGAATCATGCCTACCCAGTGACCCCTCCGCTGGCCAGTACTCACCACCTTCTCCCGGGAGCGCAGGACGCCCAGCTTCCCGAAGCGCACGTGGAAGGGCGAGCAGCGGAAGGAGCCGTCCACCTGCTTCACCACTAGCACGTCGATGCCGCCGCTCAGGGTGGCCGGGTTCAGGCCCCGGTACAGCTCCTTCACCGTGCCAAACACGGTCTCCGCCAGCTGCCCCACGTAGTTCATGGCTGGTGCTGGGAAAAGACGGTGCTGCCACTGGATCCAAGGCCTGGTCCTCTCCTGTCCAGGGGAGGCTCCGCCGTGGGACCCCCAGACCCCAGTTATGGTGTGTCCCCTCTGGGGTACCTTTGCGGAGGGCAGCAATCACGTGATGGGAGGTGCGTGCAACGTGGGTCTAGCCCCGGTTCATCCGCTGACACGCTGTGAGACACTTGAACAGCCACCCTTCTCCAAAGGCCAATCCCCACATCTGTCAGACAAGGGCACAGCGTAAGGTAATGGGGAACCTTGTGCCTCTAACGCCGTGAGTAATGATTGACCGCGGTGCCCTGTGGCAGGGCTCATTACATCCTCACCACAACCTGCGTGGCTCGCCGAGCAGGTGTAATTCCTGTTTGTTATTATTCCTGTTTACAGACAAGCCAAGAGAGGCTCAGGCAGGTGGAGTGATGTACCCAGGATCTCCAGCCAATATGGAGAGAAGGCAGGATTTGAACCCAAGCCCATGTGGTTGCAGAACCCTTGGTGTGAACCACTGGGACAGCCTAATTGTGGGAGCAGGAGGGGCTAAGCACCCCTTGCTGGGGTGCAACAGTTGCGGGGGGCAGCCTGATGATTTTTCAGGCCCTAAACCTGCTGGGAAACCAGCAACAGCTATGAAAGCTGATCTCTTCCCAGAAGTGGGGGGTCTCAGTTTTTCATCTGAGAAATGGGTTCAGCTGTCTTGTCTTTGGTCCTAGGAATTGAAAGGGTCGCTCCTGCGCCATCATGGCAGACTTGTAGGAACCCACAATAAGAGGGGGCATACCAGCTACCGAAGGCTCTGCCTAGGTCTATTCCTGGGGTTAGATGCTCTAAGCAGGGCATCCCCTATAAGAAATGGAGGGAATCCCCAGTTTCAAGCCCCAAACTCCTTCCCATTTTCCCAGAAGCCCATCCATGACCCACAGCCTGACTCCAGGGCTATAGTTCTCACCCCTCAGCTGGCCCCACATTCAGCCCTGGGCTGGCCGCTGGCCCATTGAGGCTCTCCTCCTTCCCCCAACCAGACCGGTCGCTCCAGCTCTCCCACACCAGCACACCGGGCAGGGCTGGGCGAGCCGGAAGCAGGAGGTTGTGGCAGTCTCGGAGTAAAACCAGCGTCATAATGAGAGCCGCCTCCACGCTGGCATGGTGCCCAGCTCCCCACCAGCTTCAGCCCTTCCCTGCTGGAGGCCAGTGGCCTCTGCCTCTCTGACTACCAGGCTGCAGGCTGTACACCTCCGAGGTACTTCTCTCTCTCAGACCCTGCATCAAAGCCCTAGAGGACTGCCTGCCATGCCAGACCACACCTCGAAGAAGTTACAGGAGTTCCGAACCCTGTTAAGGCTATTTGGCCAGAGATGGGGGAAGGGCGCAGGCCCACAGCCTGTTTTCCTGACTCCTTTCATTCCGGGGTCCCCAAGCCACACCGCAAAGGGGGCAGCCTGGTCCAAGCTCACCTCTCTAGCCCTGTGATGCCTTGCCATGCAAAATGGGGTCCAGCCCAGAGGTATCAGAGACACGTAGCACCTCAAGCCCCACTCAGCCTCACAAATCAGCATCTGCATTTAACAAAAGTCCAGGAGAGACTTTTGCCCACCAGTGCTTGAGAACAGCCCTCCTCGGTGTGCACCGACCAGGGTCCACTCTGCAAGGGCCGTGATGCCCCGGCCCCAGAGAGCATTTCCCAGAGGCAGTAGATTCTTCTGGCATATGTCAGCATGGCACAAATATAGGGTACGATGAGAATTGCTAAAATAAAAATATGGGATACAACGAAGCTCTTTGAACCCATGAAACATCACTCAAATTCAATACACAGTTTATCTGCCAGGGGCCTAGATGTGCAAGGTGACACTGCCTCTTAGGTTTCTTCCTATCTGACACCAAGTTCAGTGACTGGAAGGTTGGAAGTCAGATAAACTGACAAGGACAGACATATGGTGGCAGGCCGCTAGACCACAGTGCCCAGGAAAAGAGGGGAGGACTCTGGCCAGCAGGATGGGGGTGGGGACTGATTAGCTGGAGGCCCAAGTCTGAGCTGCATGCGCTGCTCAGCTCAAAGAGCTGCGAGAGGGAGGGAGGGGCTCAGCGTGACCTAGTGCTGGATAATTCTTTGTTGTGAGGGAGGATTGTCGGGTGTTTAGCAGCACTCTGGGTCAACACTCGTTAGAGCTGTGACAACCAGTTTGTCTCCAAATATTGTCAAGTGTCTCCTGGGAGACAAAAGTGCCCTCAAATTGAGGGCCACTGAGGTAGGCAGAAGAGATGAATGGCAGATGGCACCCAAGGGACACTTGGTTCCTACTCTAAGCCACCCACAAATATCTCAATTTCCCCTTCTATGAAACATGGCCTCCATTTTTCAGACCCTTCTCAGCTCTGACATCATGGCAGCCTAGGAGTCATTCCTTTCCTTATTCCCCCAGTGCACAAGCAGGTGCCCACCACAGCTGTCTGCTCAGCATTTAAGGGGACTCCTGAGAGGCATGCCTGGGCCACACCTCTCTACCCACACCTGGGCCACACCTCTCTCCCTGAAGGCCCCTCCCCTCCCTGGGACCTGGCTCTGCCTCCGTGGCCTCCAGACAGAGGAGAGGGTTGCTGGCTCCCCTACACCACCCTTCACCCTCAAACTAACATGTCTAAAATCAGTCACTTCATCTTCCCCCAGGGGACCTCAGTCAGCAGAATACTTCTCAGGATTCAGGGGGCCCCTCTGTCCCAAGCCCTCTAAATCCTCTCCCCCAATTTCCTCTTCATCTAGCGCTTCCTTTTTTCCTCCTGCAGCCCTAGGTCAAGGCTTTATTACTGGACACTCAGATCACGGGTGGTACAAGGCACTGAGGGGAAGGCTCTCGACAGTCTATCCTCTGCCACTTACTTACTGGCTGTGCCCAGGGCAAGTCACTTCGCCTCTCTGAGCCGTCCTTCCAGCCCCTGAAATGGGGACCACAGAAGGGATGCGTGAGTGACTGCGGAGCTAATTCGTGCAAAGCACCAGCACACCATGACTGCCACACGCACCACCTGCAGCATCAGCATCTGTGTTGGCATTGTGACAGCCACAGGCTGTGGGTGCTACAGGTCCCACTGATGCACTGCCACTGCCCACAGTTGAGAAAGGCTAGTCTCCCTAGCTCAGCACTCCTAACTGCAAGATGGTGGCCCCTCTAGCTGCCAAGCGAGTAGGGGAGCCTCAGTCAGGCCTCATGGGGCGCCCAGGCCTCAGCACCCACTCTGGGAACATCCGCCCAGCTCGGCCCCACCACAAGGCAGCCAGAATGAGCGGCCCTGGGTCTGAGTTCTCAACCCTTCTGGACTCCCAGATTTAGGGAAGTGTGGGGGTGCACCTCCAAATAAGCACTCACTCGGGCCTTCACAGCAAAGCCTCAGCCCTGCCAGTCTCAGAGCCGCCGGGCAAGGGTCAGGTCAGGTCCCGTGCAGCAACTGGGGGTCCTCAGGACCAGGAGGGTGGGCTCCCCGCCCAGGGTCACACAGCCGGCGGGGGTGAGGCTAGGCCAGCGCCCCCTGGGGGGTTGCGATCTTGTCCTCCCCGATGCCACACGCTGGGTGTCCCGGCTCCCCGCCTCCGTGGCCAGCGGGGGTAAGCGCGCGCCCGACCCCCCTTCCGATGGCCAGAGACGGACTCCGACCTGCGGACAGAGGGAATGAGGTTCCGACGGCAGGACAGACCGGCGGGAAGGGGGTGCCTCTCTTCCGCCCGGGGTCGGCCTACCTGGGGAACTGCCCCCTGGACCTCCGGGACCCGGAGGTGCCGCCTCTCCCGAGCGCGCGGAGCCACAGGTAAGTGGCCCCGGCCCGGCACGCGCGGGGCGCTTCCTGCCCCTCCAGGACCCGGGGCGACCCCGGCTCCGCCCCTTCCAGGAGCCCCGCGCCGCCGCCTCGGGCCCCAATCCGTCCAGGCTCCGCCCCCCGAGAGGGCCGGCCCCGAGCCGGTGCCCACGCCCAAGGGCGCCCTTTCACCTATCGAGGCTGGGGCGGAGCCAGGGTGAGGCCCCGCCCCGCGCGCCCCACCCAGCCCCCTCCTGCTCCCCGGTCCCGGGGGCGACCCGACGCCACGCCCGGGTGGCCTGCCACCTCTCCACGCCCAGGCGCGGCGCGAACCGGGGCTTTTCGAAACGGGAAGGCTGATTTCCTTGCAGGCTTTGCTTCCAGCTCGCGGTGTGACCTAAGGAAATTCTTCCCCAGGCTGAGCCTGATCTCTGTCTCGCCCAAGGAGATAGCCAGCCACCTGCGAGGACAGGATGTGACTTTGTAAAGCACCTGGCGCTCAAGCATCCCCTCCTAAGGGGCAGCTTTCCCCGACACGCACGCATATCCACTCTGCGCCCTACCTGTCCCGTGCAGTGTGGACCCGTGTCACATACTCACCTGCCCACAGGTGTCACTGCAGGGTTACTCGAAGGACTTGACTATTGTCCGTCTCTTCGTTTGAGTTTGGACTCCGTGGAAGCCGGTTGCGTTCATCCTTATCCCTAGTGCACAATTCAGGACCTGCACACAGTAGGAGCTCAATAATGCACAGTAGGAGCTCATTAATGCCCGCGGCTCCTCCCTCCGTCCATCCAGCCCACCGGTGGAGCGGCAGCGCGCGCACTACCGCCCCTGACCAGCAGAGGGCAGGCGCTGACCAGCCTTGGGCCGGGCCGTCGCGCTCTCCGTGGGCCGGCGCCGCGCGAGGCGCACAGGTGAGCCCAGGTGCGCGCGCGCCTGGAGGATCCGTCTGCCCTCGCGCTTCTGGAGAAGTTCGAATCAGGGAAAGGTTTTTTTCCCTTTGGATCTGCGGCTCGCGACCTGTCCGGGATCAAAGACCTCTCCCATAACTTGTGAGGATGTACGCCCCAGCGAAGATGAGCTGAGAAGGACAAAGAGGTAGGAGTTTGCCATATAAAGAGCGAGCGAGGGTACCGGGGGAAGGCTTGCAGGAGAGCAGGCGCACTGGCGCAAAGCCAGGCTTAGAATGGATTGGGTGGTGGGGAATGAGAGGTGTCTGCCAGTGTTCTGTGACCCAACTTGGCGGGACCTGGTAGGAAGAGACTGCCCTCGGTTGGCTTTAGGGCAAGTCATTGGTGTCAGTCCTGAACCGGGGCGCGTAGGGCTGGTATCTCCGAAAAGCCCCATGGGAGATGAGCTCAAGATGGCCTGCGGGCAGCACAGTGCCACAAACGTGTCTGTGAGGGCATTATATGTAACCGTGACCCCCGGAAACATCCCAGCCTCCCAAAGAGCCTGTAAAGGACAGGTCTGAGGTGGCAGCTGCTGATGCCACAGTCATCTGCTTCTTTGGGCCTCCATTTTTTCATCTGCAAAATGGAGCTAAAATCTACCTAGCCGGATTGTATTGTGTGGATTAGGTGGGGTGAACCAAATCAGTGGTTCTCAACCTTGGCTGCGCTTTAGTGGAAGGAGCGTGCCCTGGGCAAACATGGATGCCTGGGGGGCTGGATATTAAACCTTTCTAGGTCATTGTAATGTGCAACCAAAGCTGAGAACTACTGAACTAAATAAAACGCGCTAACACAGCACAGGACACACACTAGGCATTTGATAATATTCATCACATATGTTTTTAAATGGAGCACAAGTTGTTTTCTTTATTCCTCATAAGAGAAAAAAATGATATAAAGGTTCTTGCAGAAATTGGATTTCTGACAAGCTTGTTTCCGGAACTATATGAATCATCTGGGATTTGGTGTTATTATGGGGGTGGGGAAGACAGAGCAGCCTCTGGCAGTGTGACTTGTTCTGACACCCAGCTGAGCTGAACAAGTCAGGGACCACCCCTTCAAGCTTGTGGTTCACATCACCATGTTCAAGACATCCTCTGAGAATGCAAGCAGCGTGGGTTTCTCCCTCCATCCCACCCCCATTTGGGGATTTAAGGATAGAGGGTTTTCTCCCTTCCCTGACTATGCTCACCAAGTGGGTAATGCCACTGGCAACTGTTCGCTTCTTGATTAATCCAAGTGCAGGTTGCTCTTCCTTCCTTGTAGAAGTGGTAGCCTTGGGTGCTTTAGGCCACAGGTCAAATGCCTACTTCCTGTGCTCTAGGACTTTCTTTCTGGGCGAAACTGGCATGAAGTGAGAACCCGCCCACACAAGCCTGCAGCTGTAATCACTTGTCTTGGGGAGCAACACTGGATGCAGGTGCAGCTCCTCAGCCACTCCTAGGGGCCCTGTGGAAGCTGGGAAAGAAGGTAGAAGATCTTGGAGCTGGCTCTTTCCAGCATGCTAGGTTTGGGGGTTGGGGGCAGGCAGCAGTATTTTGCTAGAATTGCTAGACTCAGCAAATTAAGGACACCCAGTTACATTTGATTTTCAGATTAACAACAATTTTTTTTAGTATAACTGTGTCCCATGAAATATTTGGGTCATGCTTATTCAAAAAAAATTAACTATCGTTATCTTAAATTCAAATTAACTGGATAGCTTTTATTTTTATTTGCTAGAGCTGGCAACCCTATGCCTAGCCAAATAGCCAAGAGAATCCAACATGTAGGGTTTGCTGCTGGCAATGGCTTCCTGCCCATTGTTGCCACATTCAGCTTCCACCTGTCACTGTCCTGCTCCAGAACTGTGTGTGGATCCCAGCTACTCCCACAATGCAGTGAGGCTTCTCTGGCTGCTGGCTGGGCCTTGCTCTCCTGCCAGCCCAGCTGACCTGCTAGGGCCCTTCCTTACCTCTGTGCTTGGACATATTTTTCTGCTGAGCGTGTCTCTTGCCCACTCCAGCAGTAATTGAGAGCAGGTATTGAGCACCTTGTGGGTACAAGCACCATGCAGAGTCCCTCATTTGCACTGTCTCATTGGAATTTCACAAAACCCATGGTAAGGGTGGTGGTTCTCTTATTTTACTGATGAAGAAACTGATGCACTAAGAGAGTGATTCTTAGAGTGTGGCCCCTGGGCCAGCAGCAGCACCTAGAAGCTTGTCAGAACTACAAACTCTCCACACCTGATGAATCAAAAACTCTAGGGGTGGGTTAGTGCAAGCAGCCTGTATTTTAATAGCTTCCCATCACCAATCCACCCAGGTGAATCGGATGCATGCTCTAGTTTGAGACCCCTGTTGTAAGAAATGAAGTGACCGTAGGAGTCCCCTGCCTGGGCGGGGGGTATGGAGGAAAGCAGGGGACCGCACACACAGTGCTTATGGTCCAGGTCTGATCATACCTAGACCAGGCACGGGAAATGCTGCAGCCAACCCACAGTTGGGGGGAGGAGGGAGGAGAAAGGAGGACAGTGTCGATCGCTTGACTCAGAGTAAAGCAATTGCTGTGTAAGATGATGAGGGCCCAGGTGGGCCAGGATGGGAGCAATCAAGGAAAGCTTTCCCGAGTAGATATGTAAGCCTGAAAAACAAATTGGAATGAATTAAATGAAGTAGGGGAAGGGTGTTCTGGGCGCAGGGTAGTTTGTACAAAGACCGAGCACCTGGAGAGGGTTCAGTACTGAGGATGGAATGTGAAGGGAGGTACAGGAGTGGGGAGGTGCAGGGATTCCTCTGCCCTCAGGGCCAAGAAAGAAGTTTAGGCTTCTTTACTGATATTAAGAAAAGCCTTCTGGGGCCTCCCCTGGTGGCGCAGCGGTTGAGCGCTGGGCTGCGAAGCTGCCCATCAGCCTCTGCAGCACCGGTTGGATCCCTGGTCGCTGGCAAGGGTCCCACATGGTGCGCAGACCTCTCCTGCCGTGCCCGCTGCTCCCCTCAGCAGTGTATTTTGTCAGTCTGCCTGTTCTGTTCCCCGCTCTGGCTCTGGTGAATTCTCTCACCCTCCCGCGCTTCTGACTGTACCCAGTGCTTGTATAACTAGATAAATAAATCTTAAATTAAAAAAAAATGTTAAAAAAAAAGTCCTCTGGCTTGAGGTGGAGTGAAGATATGGGGGCAGGGACAAGCAGAGACCCAGTGCCAGGCTTTTCCTTGCCCCTGTAGCCAGTAGGCTTCTGCCCTCTAGGACATCTGCACAGACTCAGGCTGTAATCATTGCAATCAGCGCCAGGTTCCAAAACCAGTCAGAAGGAGCTGGGAAGCAGCCTGAGTGTGAAGGGGTGGGGGTTGGGGTTGGAGGGTGGGAAGGGCCCTGCCGCAGGCTCTGCCTCTGCACCCCACCCCACACCCCCCAGCATCCTAGAGGAAGCCAGGCCACTGCCCTGGGTTGCTTTTGTCTTCCAAGTTCCCTTTCCCTGCTGATGTGGCTAAGGCTGCAGGGCTGCTGGGACCTCTCCTCTGAGCCAGACCCTGGGCGTGGCGAGAATCCCTAGGTTGAAGGGAGGAGACATCCCTTGCTATCCCCCACTGTTGTCAAGGAAGCCTGTGGTGCCAGTGGAGAACTGACCTCTGACCAGATTGCCTGGCAGTGTGGGAAGCGTCAGGGCGGTTTATGGCTCCGGCTGTCCTTCCCAGAAAAGCCATCAGTTTGGCGAAACTCCTCTGAGAGGTCTAGGTTAGGGGAGAATACTGAAACATTGTTAGCCACTGTAAGCAGTGGAACTTTCTGTGTGTTCTAAAATTCCTGCAGGATTTACCGACTGCCCCATGGGACTTGAACTTCAGCAAGGGGACTGGCCTCCTATTGGTCCTCTTTTTATTTGGGGACACTCTCTGCCCCGCCCTCCAGCAGGAGGACCATGTCTCATTTGCTTTGCATTTCAAGGAGGATCTAGCCTGGTGCCCTCCATTTTAATAGATCTTCCAAAATACTGTTCAGGGAAAACGAAATTATGCTGAGCATTGAGTCATACATAGAGTGGTCTAACTCTGTGGAAGTGGTGGTCTAAGTGCTGAGACTGGCCGTGAATATGGGCCATGGGCAT